ACTAAAATTATTTAAGTCCGTCGAGGATGTTTGTTTTAGATTTTTAGATTTTAGATTATCAAATTTGCTTGTCGGTTATCCCTAAGCACGTGGATGTGAAGATTGCGCTAAGAAAAAAGTGCCGCGTGTTCCATAAGCGAAAGATCGGACCGCGTTGAGTGCCGTATGCCCCGACGGTTTGCGCGTCACTGAAGGTAAACTGGTCCACTCCACTATTACTTAGCGGCCTCAAACTGTTGCTGATTTGACGAAAATGCCCTTCTACCCACTTATATCATTCTAAATTGGTAGAATTCGCAATTTTATAATCATAGTGTGAACTATAAAAACAAAATTAGTCAAATTAATATTTAATGATTAATAATTATTAATTATAATTTAAAATATTTAATTTATTTAATTAGAATTAATAATTAATAATTATTTATTAAATGACGAAAACCAAACACCTCTCTAATGAAAAAGGATTTACTTGCATTTATTTCACAACTCATTTTCTATAGTTTGATGAATTCAAATGGTATAAAATATTTAGGTTAAACTTTCAATTTGATCCTTGAATTATTATATAGACATTTAATTTAGTTCCTAAACTAAAAAAATTCTTGATTTAGTCTCTAAATTATTGTATGGACATATTTTGATCCTTATTGTTTATCAATTTATCCTAAATTGATTCTTTCGTACAAAAAAAGTTGATATATCCATTACTTAATGACGAAAAATAGTAGTTTAACAATTATGTGTCACGTTAATAACAAAATACGTCAGTTAATTTTTATATGGAATGACCAATTTATGATAAATTGATAAACAATAGAGATTAAATTAGATATCTGTACAATAATTTAAGGATCAAATGAAAGATTTTTTTAATTTAAAAAACCAAATCGACGTCCGTACTATAGTTAAGAGATCACAAATTGAGAATTTAACCAAACAATTATGTTACAATAAATATTCTAATGCTCGGCCCATTTGAAGGTTTTTTTTTTTAAGTCTTTTTTTTTAATAAATTCATTTATGATTGTACTAAATTATAAGATCATATAAAATATTTGTAAGATTTTAAAATTTTATAAAAATTATCAAATTAAAAAACTTAAGATCAAAAAATTATTCCAAAAGCAACATATTTAGAGTTTTAACTTCTAATCCTTCACAAGTTAAAAACAATGATTAAAAAGAAACAACATTTGACTTAATTTTTAATTTTGCAACAAAAAATTATTTTTGATTCCTTTTTTTTTTTTTAATAAAAATGGTTAGGTGTTGCAGATGAAAGGGTGTCCCATTGCAATTGCTCTGTCCATATGTTTCACATTCATATATATGGTAGGAAGGTATGAACTTGACGTAATTAAAAAGAAATGTATCTAATGAGAAAGGGCTGCGATTAGTTGAAATTATATTTAAAATCCCATTAGATTTCTTTTCTATATATCACACGTTCACATTAGTTTTTTTTTTTTCTTAAAAATATCAAATTTTCGTAATTTCAACAGTTAACCATAAATTCTAATAATTAATTATAAATTTTAATTTTAATTTTTAATCTTTTCGTACAAAGAAAAAATTCGTAAGTCCAAAATCACTGTACTTGAAGAAGTACTTAAGGGTTAATTTTGGAAATACGGTAGCGCAAATGGAGGAGCTCGTTTATTCTAGAAAGCCAGAAAAAGGGATAATCATAGGACAAAGTATACACCACGTGGCCAATAATGGATGTTTCATTTCATATTTCCCACGAAGATTAGCTGTCTTTCTAAGCAAGCCAACTAACTATGAGCAACCCAAAAATGCAAGTCAAGAACTACAATAAGGTTAAAAACTAAAATTACAGGAGAAAGCAAACGACTTCAATAGTTTATTGTTTTTTTTTTT